AAAGAATAATGCACATAAGTGTGGACCTGCCCTGTGCACTCTGCATGTTATGTTGTGAGATTTTCTTTAAATATCTTTCTGCGTCCAACCCATAAATCAGATTCTCTGACAGTGTAGGAACGCTCACTTCACCTGTTAACACAGATTTAATAAAAAAACTTTGCATGGTGGACAGTGTTTACAAGAAGTCATACATCTAGAGGTGAAAAGCTTATTGGATTGACAAACTATTTTGATAATCAGTGAATCTTTTCAGTCATTTTTCCACCCACAAATTCTCTGATTCTAGTTTCTTACTCTTCTTACTCTTCTAGTAATTTGGGTTAAACAGGTTATTGGAATGAGTGACTTTGGGCTCTGAAATTGCAATGACATTTTATAGACAAAATCAATTTATGAAGGAAAAAAAGGCAGATTAAAATAATCATTAATTAATCATTAATTTAAGGGGTGTAATGGTTCTGAAACCGAACCCATGGATTTGATGAGCTGACGCCCGTATTAAGTTTCCAAGTCGAGGCTTGTTTTTGAAGTTTGCTGTAGAGTGTGTCTGTCTGAGTGTGGACATATCTCAGAGGACAGATGAAATGTGATAAAAAGCCTGAAGATGTACAGTTGAATAAAAAGTGAGTGGGGAGGGACATGGAGATGGAAAGAGAACTGAGTGGGAAATTTTGAGCCAGAGGGAAAAGATAAACAACAAAGAAAAACTGTGAAAGAGAGAGACCAGAGGAACAAAGAAGCGAGAAACAGTTAAGTGTGAGAAGAGGACAGACTCAGGGTCAGCTGAGGTTAACAATAGGGTTGTGTGCAGCCTCTGCACTGAAGCATCTGTAACCTTTCACCTTTTACAGCTACTTGCTGCAGAAAAAAGTGTTTGTGTGTATATCAATGTGGGTTTCCTGTCAGTAGTGGTACATAGACATTTTATCTGAGTGTTGTTTGAATCACACACAGACACTTCTCCACTGCAGCTCACAGTTCACTGATATGCTTCTTAAGATAAAAAAAATTGCAGACTTCCTCTACCAGAAAGTCCTCACACATACACTCAGACACAAGCACTGTGTGGTCCTTGCATGTAGAGCCACGCTGTGGATGTGTGCTTAAACCTAAGTATTGCTCCTCTCACCGATACTGTAGGTGAATGAGATCCAGTCGGAGACATGGCACATAACTGCTATGTAAGGGCTGGACAGACACACAAAGACATATATTTTGTGTCAAGAATGACAAACAGGCTTGCAGCAAACAAATAAAAATTCACCTCTGGACCAGTTTAAAACTAGGTGATATTTATCTAACCCCTTTTGGTGTAGTCATCCCAACTAGCTGAGGCAGAAGGCTGCCCTTCAGCAGCCTGGGGGTGTCAGGGGTTTCTTTCATTAACGGGAGTTTTTCCTCTTCATTCTCACCATATGCTTGCTCAAGGGGGATTTGTTGGGTTTCTCTGCATAATACTTTAAGGTCTAGACTGTACTATGTAAAGTGCCCAGAGATGTGTGAATTTGTGTAGTTGTGAATTGGCACTACACAAATAAAATAAAATAAAATTGAGTTGAATTGTTGAACCCCTGTTTATTGCTATGAGCAGCACCTAGTGCACACTAGTGTAAAGCAGGCTTAAACAGGAGTGATCACAATTCTTGGTTCTGTTTAAAAGCCTGGCAGTTAATAGATTTTTGGCTAAGGAAGGTAAGAAGGCTGTTCAAAAAAGTGTTCTTCCAGCTGTTGACAGCTGACTCCGGTGTTTTTCAGATCCAGGAAAAAGAAATACGACTGGAGCACATTGATTGGTTTCCTGCTTTTAATGGAGCACAACACTCAAACTATAACTATAACCTGATTATTATACCTACTGTCCTTCACCCATGTCTCCAGGTGCAGTATACTAAAGACAAATCTGAATGTGTTACTGAAACAAAATCCTACCACAACTTTCCCTTCTATAGAAATGTGCAGTGCATTGATTTATGTTGATTGTTTCCTTTTCCTACATAACCCCTCTCATCTGAGCACAAATCAATCTCATTATAGACAATACAATTATATCCTTGATAGAGAGCAGCCATGCCTCTAACCCAGACAATCATCAGTCTTTATGCATAAGGGATCCATTTAAATTAGTGGCACTAACGTCTTAGCCTCATCAAATATACACGACAGGCTAGTCAGTGATAATCAAAAACAAGGCTGAGGAGAATGAATAAGCAGATAGCAATAGGAATTGTAGCTAGCATATTTTTATGTATTTCTGAACACCCAATAAATAGTATGCATTGTTATTATTATTATATTAGCATTAATGTCTGTATCCTGTATTAGAGGTGGTTAACTGGAACAAGTATTTGACAGTCAAGTCAGAAAAAGCTGGAGAAAAGGAACAGGCAGAAATCCTGGGTAAGAAAGAACTCATGGATGTCTGCACCCTGCTTTCCATTAATAGGCTGAGGCTGGCATATCTCTCTAATCAAATATGTTGCAGAGTCACACTGCAGATACACACAAGCCTGGATCAATAAGACACTGTCAGGATTATAGAACAGTCCCAAAGAGCTAAGAAGAAAAAATGCATCATCTTTATACTAGTATTGTGTCTGTGTGTGTTTAGCATGGTTTATGTAACACATTTAATGCTACAAATGTTCTCTCTTTTTGAGGAGTTTGTATTGAAATTGATTTGCTGTATTTTATCTAAATTCTGTTGGGTTGCGCAATATCTGTTCCATAATGAAAGTAACACAAAAATAGCAGTCCTTTACTTAGCTGATGTCCCTGAATAAGAATACTTACTTTGCGTACAAACAAAAATGACAGACGATTACATAAGCAAGAGGAATTGCTTTGTTCAGAGAGTCTTTACTCCTCTGTCTGTATGATGTCTGAAGATATCATATTTTAATAATACACTCAGCACTGAGTTGTGTTAACTAAAAATACTGGACTGCATGATTTAGGAAAGGATTGTTGGGAAAATGGGGCTGTTGGTGTCCCCAAGGCATAACTTCCATCCCAGCTTAGAGGTTGTTGGGTAACAAGATTGCATTATTTTTCCATCCGCTTAATGAGAAACTAAAAACATAAGTAAACTTTACTGGATGGTGGACGGAGTGTTGTATCTGCTCTCGCTGTGGTGGTGACAAAAACTGAAATTAAAACAACTGAATTTTAATGATGGCTGACTGAAAAGTAAACTATGCCATCACTTCCATGGGAGTTACTTGTGGTGGATAAGAGTGTGATGTGTATTTCCTGATTTTTTTCAGAAGTGGAATCAGATACACAAAGGCATGAAAATCCTGAATTGTCTTAATATAATGCACTGAGCTTCTTTTCATAATTCCAAATCAACATAAACACAAAAAGAGAGCTTAATTTTGATTTCAAAAGAAAACGTCCCTCCGTCACACTTTCCAATTTCTGCCAGACAACATATAATGTAGTTATAAAGAAAGCCCTGTGCAGATATCATGAAACCAGTTCCACTTTTTCTATGTGCAAAACGTTATTGAAATATCCATTTTAATACCACCTACTTTATGCCTTTCTCTGCTGCCCATTTCAAAAAGTACAAAATGAAAAACAAAGTCTTACATTTTTCATATCATACTACATTGAAGTTGAGAAAATTATTAATTCTGCTGTAAATTAGCAAACAACAAAGTTTTACATCCAAGAAATATCTCAGTTGTTATAGACTGATTTAATTTTTTTTTGGCGGGATGAGGGGCTGTACTTTTTGTGGTCAGTGCAGTTTTGAAAGACTGCCAAAAAAATACACAGCGCTGACGTGTCACTGTGCCGGCTGGCTTAGGGCATTATTATTTGCATTCCAGTGTTTGTTTCCAGTGAGTATGAGGTGTAACAGGATAAATCTTACTCCGCCCATCACAATTTGGTCGGCAAAATTGATTCAGGACTTCCTGCTTTATTGTGTCTCGGTCTAGGAAGGGTGTTGTCATGGTAACATCTTTCTCTACAGGATGTGACATCCATGACCTTGTTGCATGAAGACAGACAGATGAAGAAGAAAAGGCAGATTCACCCATCCCTGTTAATATCAGTCCTACAGTGAGTCATAGTGCAAGCTTCATTGTGCTGGTCTGGGTCTCCCATAAAAGGACAGAATCACACATTCTGTTGCTTAAATTCATATTTATTTTGTTAAAAAAAATCATAGCAGAAGAAAGTGAAGAGAAAGAGAAAAGAAAGCATAACCAAACAAACAGAAGTGGATTCTTTATGTTTCAAAGTGTGACCTGGTGGGCTGAGAAAACAGGATGTGTCTGATGTGTACGCCTCTATGTTGAGGATCATCATCTTGCTCATTTGTCATCTAGTATGGCTGTATGCCTACACCAGCTCTTTCCATTCGATTTTGCAAGAATTCAGAGCCAAAACTACAAAAAATGTTTTACTATTCTTAAACTTTCTAATTATATGAGGTTGAAAAACTGCCTCCATGCCATTTGTTAGATTTCAGTACATGCGCACTCAGCTGAAGCACTTTGATTTTCACTTTTCATGTAACTGCTCTAGTTCATAGGATTTGGGGCTTTAAGGTTTTGATTCATTGATAATGTCAGTACCTTTCTCTCACCTAAGCCTGGCTGAAAAGCCAAAAACAACACAGGAGCAGCAATTCAGAAATAATCTCTCTTAATCCTCTTCACTTGTGCCCCTCTGCTTTTTGAATCTTTCATGTCCAGTTTGGGGTGGGAGGAAACAGATCACTGGCTCATAGGATAGATTGGATGCTAAGTAGAGAAAGTTTGCCACCTAATGGAGACAGTGTAGTACTGCCTTTTATATTTTCTTTGTTTGAGTCAGTATTTTGATGCTGTATCAACATAAATGTGTAAATAACTAGGTTTCTAACTACTCTGTGCAGTTTTAGATGAAGTATTTGTGGCCAATAAATGAAATGATTGTTTTCAATTAAATCAAAACTACATTCAAATTTTTAAAACTTTTTTTCCCTTCTGTTCTTTTTTCAGGTCCATTTCTACCCTGCATTTGAGGCTTGAGTAGCATTCATCAGTGTTGTACTATAGTTAGTTCCTGAAGCCTTTAGCTTCATGGAGGGGGTTTCCTGTCCATTGATCCAGTAGGCTGCCTTCCTCGACTAGTAGTCATGTCGGCCTGCAGCACCTTCACTGAGCACGTTTGGAAACCTGGCGAGTGCAAGAACTGCTTTAAACCTAAAAGTCTGCACTGTCTGTCTCTGAGTGGTGGGGGGAGGCCTCCCACTGAGCACAGGCCTCCAACAACTCAGCAACCAAATCAACTCCCTTCTGGGGCTAGAGCCCACCCTAACGTTACCAACAACTCCCAGAAGATTGTTAGTGGGTCTGCCCGCTCAGGACACTTCCGTCCACCGGTGGCTAAGAAGCCTACCATTGCTGTTAAGCCTACTATGATGCTGCCCTGCTCCTCTGCAGGGCTGGATTCAGATGGCAACCTGCAACGACCACCAAATGTAGTAGAACAGGGCAAAACATCAGCCTTCACAGTCTGGAGTCGAAATGGACTGAACCGTAAGAGGCCCGGTGGGCCCAGTAACAACAACGAAGAAGAAGATGCTAGTGAGGAAATTGAGGGCTATGGACAACTTTGTCCAAGGACCCCTAGTGGAAATAACAACAACAGTGGACTAACAGATGTCTTAAAGGAGATTGCTGGGTTAAGTCCTGTCCCTTGCCCCACACCCCTTTCCGGCTCCAAGGACTTATTTTGGGGGCGAATCAGTAGTTCATACCAACGGTCCATGGAAAGAGGCCTTCCAGCCTCAAGTTGTCTTGCTATTGGAAGCAGCAGTAGTGGTGGTGGCAGCACTGCTCATAAACGGGTATCTCTTAGTGACAGCACTGAGATCATTAGTACAGAGGGCGGTCGCTTTTGCTATCCAGAGTTTTCCAGTGAAGGTGAAGATGATGAGGAAGAGGAAGAGGAGGAAGACACTGAAAGGGATGATGATGAACATGAGAGCTGGGATGAAAGTGATGAAGAGTTACTTGCCATGGAGATTCGGATGAGAGGCCAACCACGATTTGCAAATTTCCGTGCTGCCACATTGTCTCCAGTCCCCTTTGCTGCAGGAAAAAAGTGGAATACAGTACCACTTCGCAACCGCTCACTACAGAGGATTTGTGCAGTGGACTATGATGATAGCTATGATGAGATCTTAAATGGCTATCCCTCCTTGGACTCCAGCGGAGCCCCTCTCCCCTATGGACCTTGTGACATGCAAGGCAGTGGTTTTCTATCAAAATCAGAGTCTACCGCTTCCCCAGAATCATCGTCATCACTCCCAGAGGATTCTCAAACAACTTCCAGCAGCGGGAGCAGTGCTCTGTGCGTTCTACGAAATGGCCTGCATTCTCCCACATCTTCTAAGGCACCTGTCTCCTGCGCTTCTCCAAAAAAGGAGCCTCTTCACCAAGCACTGAGTCCACTCAAGCTGAATGAAACACACAAGGCTGTCCTGGCCATTAGATTAGAAGATCAGGATGGTAGAGAAGGCATGCCAATGCCCCAGGCCCTTCCAGGTCAGCCTGTCACTATCAGTTTTAGTCCCACTGAGGAGCAAGCTAAACCATACCGTGTAGTGAATTTGGAGAAATCGCTGATCTGTAAGCCTTACACTGTAGTGGATGTGTCAGCATCTATGGCCAACAAAGATGAACACATTCAAGACTCTACTCCAAAACCCAAAAACCCGTCAATGCCTTCTAGCCCCACATCATTCTGTAGCACTCCTTTAGGTCAGCCCTTGATTTCAGCCTCCCCTATTTCTCCATCTTCTCCTGTGATGCCAACACCACCCACATTTACTGCTCTGCCAGGTACATCACGAAAGAAATCAGGGAGCATACGCTACCAAGAAGTGTGGACATCAAGCACAAGTCCTCGCCAAAAGATACCTAAAGTGGATCTAGGGGTTGGGAGTTATCCTGGCCCTTCCATCCCAACTCAACACCTCAATTACAAGTCAGCTCCTACTTCTCCCACTGCTGGTCTTTCTTCTTCCCAAACTGTACCTGTGAAATCCCCAAACTTATCAGAGATCAAGTTTAATAGTTTTAATAATGCAGGCATGCCTCCTTTTCCCATTATTATTCGAGATGAACCAGCCTATGCCCGCAGCTCCAAGAATGCAGTCAAGGTACCTATTGTTATCAATCCAAGTGCATACGATAACCTAGCTGTGTACAAGAGTTTCTTGGGACTCAGTGGGGAGTTGCCACAGCCGAAAGGGGTAGGTAATAGGGCAGTCAGCCATACTTATGAAGAGATTGGCTCCTCTGAGAGTGTCCAGTCCTCATCAACAGAGAAAACTATGTCTGGTAGAGGCACAGCAGAGAGATCCTCTTCTGAGGAGACTAGAGTTCTACCTGAAACCATGTCCAAAGCACCAAATTTACAATCCAGAGCAACTATAGACTCTAATACTGTGACAAGTGCTGTGATGAGCTCCACAGTTGGGACCCTCTCTCCTACTACATCAACAAATTCCCCTGCCATTGCAAACCTACCTAAAAGCAGCCCTACTACCAATGCTGTTACACGCACTTGCAAGACAACTGGAGACGCTACTTGTGGTAAAGATAATGATACAGACTTAGCTTTGTCTTCTGGGACAGTGGTAAGCTATAGGGAGGAAGCCAGTGCTGTGCTTTCACAAATTGTGGCCTCCATCCAACCTCCCCAGTCTCCTCCAGAGTCACCCTCAGCACAAACCAAGACCTTCAGTTCTGATGAACTGTATGCCCTCCCACCTGATGCCATGAAGGAGACTCTCATCCGACCTAAGCCTCTTTTTTCCTCAGCTGATGGCTGTCTTTCCAAGCCCAAGAAGGACACGCCTTTGAAAGTTTTGTCTAAATCTCAGAGTGCCTCAGCTGCTGCCCCACTCTCCAGCCCCCGATCAGAGCCCAATGCCCCCTTTCCTCCTCCTAGATCTACCTCTTCACCATACCATGCTTCTAACATCCTGCAGAAACATTTTAGCAACTGGACTAAAAGCTCTGTCACTAGTTCCCCTGTGCGACCCAGTGAGGGTGAAGGAAGTCTGGGTGGAGAGGCAAGGCGTATTTCAACAGAAAACTCCAAACCCAAACGCTGGATCTCCTTTAAGAGCTTTTTTCGTCGGCGGAAAGATGAGGATGATCAGAGAGAGAAGGTGGAGAGGGAGAAAGAGAAGGGCAATTTAGTTGGGCTTGATGGAACAGTCATTCATATTCTTCCACCACCTCCAATCCAAAGTAATCACTGGTTCACAGAGGCCAAACCAGAGGATCCCACCCAGAAGCCAACTATCATCTTCACCTACAAACCAGAGAGTGGCAGCACCCCTGGTGATGGAGAAGGAGAGCTGCGAGTACAGGAGTGCAGAGAAACTGCTCTGCTGACACCTGATGGAAGCAAGGAACCCAGACCTTTGAGCCCAGGGCCAGCACCATCCTCACACACAACTAGAGGCAATCTCACCAGGAAGGACTTCAGGTATTTGTCCAAAGTTTTATTTACTGATGCCAGTACATTAGATGATAACCCAATGATCACAGTAAAGCCTGTAAGAGCAGAACTTCATAGTAATGATTGTTCAAAACTGAGGGTTCACACAGTTGAGATTTAAATAAATAAAAAATAACATAAAGCTACTGAGGTAAGGCTTGTATTGCAAAGGACTCCCAGGTAATCTCACGGGCAACAGTGGATATGTATTTGTGTAATTATAAGGGTTAGGATTAGTGAAGATTAAAAGTAATTTGCTAGGTGTATGTACTGTATATGTGCATTAGGTAGTCCTGTATGAAGATTAACCTTGGAGGGCAATTATTTTACTGAAGCCAAAGGTTTTCAACACGTGAACATTTTAACAGGAATTGGTGAATGATAATTTGACCTACTGTAGCTGAGCATTACACAAATTCCTTTTACAATGTCTTTGTCTTTAAGATTTGTTCTGTAATTCTTAGTTATCTGTCAAATTCATTTGCACTTGTTCTGCCTACTTCACCTCTTGCTGATGTTAAAAAAAAAAAGTTTTCATGCAGTGTCCTTATTAACATTATTCACATGTATTCACTTCTGAGCACCCATGGGACCCACCTTCAAATTAAGATGCTCAGCCTTTGTCAGCCGCTTCTCCAAAGTGCCAGGGATGCTTCTCCTCCTGTCATACAGATATCTCATCACAGATAGAAAATTTAAATTTTACTTCGGCTTGCCTGCTCACACCACTTGCACAGCAGACTGCATGGACTCTACAGTTTGTGGTCTGTTCCTTAATGTCATCTATTACCTGAACAACAGCGTCTGTGCTCAGAACCTCAGTGTGTTACCGGTCATCCAACAGCCAGATCAACAACTACTCTATTAATCACTGTTTTAAAAGGCATATTCTCTTTAGTCTCTTCACACACACACACACACACACACACACACACACACACACACACAAGTAGTACATCAGTCTACTCGCACATGTTAATTATTTGCCTTTGACTTGCTGTTGCCCTTCATGTTACATTTTTTGAGGTACTTACATGCAGTGTAATGGTGCCAGATGAAAATAGCACAGATGTGGCACTTTTTTGTTCTCGATCATAAGCTTTATTGTGCTGAATGTGACTTGTTTTTGCCTTAGAAATGAAGCTACAGTAAGTGTTCTGAGATGCTCGAAGACAGATGCTGCAGTGGCCAAAAAAGTATTCATCAGGAAAGCTTTACACTGAAAGCAATGCTAAGAATGTGAACTTCCAGTCACTGGGACAGTAGGCTAGAGAACACAGTGTGAAAACAGTCCCGTTCCACGTTGTATCAACACAATAGAAGATTACTGTTTGTTGACAACAGGAAAACCACTTGAATTTCACATCCAGGTTTATGATTTGATTTTCAATGTATTAAGCTTAGTGGGGCAATAAAATCCAACCGTCTGTTTGGAAAGACTCTTTCCAGACCCCGCCCCAGATTCTAAATATTTAATCTTCCACCTCACCCTGATGTACCTGATGTACCAATAGTGATGACACACTTATTTGGTTAGAAAGTATAATTTGCTAGATTGCTGAGTTGCATTATAATGTGTTGTATTTTATATATGATGCGAACTGACTATTTAGTAAATGATTTTTAAAGCTAGCAGCAAACACTTTTATTATAAGGGGTGTTGCCAGTTTACTGAGATGATGTGCAGCTTGTTGAGATTTTCTCATTTATCTTCTCACCTGATATCTCATATTTGACCCCACCTTTACAATGATTTGAATGTGTTACTTTCCTGTTTTGGTAACTCTGCCACCATCATATTATCCATATTTTCTGTGTTCTTCTCAAAGGTGCTTGACTTTCCACCATCACTCTTTTTCATGTCATTTTTGCTCCTGTTCCATCCAAGCCTTTCTTTTGTACAGTATTTTTCTCCTTTGAGCCCCAAAACACTTTGAACTCTTATATATTTCACTTCTCTATCCTGTCAAAAGCTTGGCCCCATTCTGTCTCTTTTCTAGCTCCCCTTCTTTTCTCTCCTCCTAAAACTTTAGCTGTAGTCATCTCTTTCTTCTCCCCAGAAGTACATGTCTCTCTCACTTTATAACTGGCAGACGTATCAAGCCAGAATCCATAAGTTGTTTGAAGGATGATGGAGTAATCAGATGAAGAATAATGACATACTGTATAAACTAAGCTCATAGTATTAACCACAGTAAAATAACTGGCCTGTACCACATTTAGTCTTCAGGACTGATTTCAGCAGTGGAAATAAACTGCAGTAGTACTCATATTTAATGTTTTTCCTACTCAGTGAGCATCAGAAAATGTCGCTCAGCATTAAAATACTGATCAGGTATTCACATACAAAAATTGACATTTCGTTGTATTTCCACTAACATTTTCCTGAATCACTGAAAGCTGTTAGTGCAATTAGTTTTTGTAGTATTGTATGACACATTCACATACTGGCTACAAACATATAAGTCTGTGTGAAATTATACATTAAACAAACCAGGTTTAATACAGTATGTCACACTTTCAGCCATCTCACCTTTGGTCTACTCTGCCTTATTTTCTTTACACCTGTCTTTTACAAGCGTTCTCTTCATGACCCTGCCGTTTACAACGTTCACTGTGAGTTTGTCAGTTAGCAGCGACTTTATTCCTTTAGTGTGTTGATAGTAAATTACGGTGTGACTCAACAGTGTATTTAATGTTTATCTCAGGTACTGACTTGTGGTTTTAAGTTGACCCAGAAACAGCACATTACTAAACCTCTTCCTTGGTCTCAAAGCTTCCTTTGGTGATGTGGAGGAAGAAATAACATAATCGAAGTCTACAGGAAGAATGTGCTTGTAGAAAGTGATTACAAGCACCACACCGTGCTTCGGAGACAAATGTTAAAGGGATTGGAAGTGTTCTTATACAACCAGTTTGATTTTTATTAACTACAAGGTCCCTCCAGTTTTTCAGATAGTTGCTGCTTTGTTCAAATGAAAAGTGAAAAGATTGATTCTGTGGTTTCTAAATTTGCTATTTATTTGCTGTCTGTTTGTTGTTTGATGCCCAGAACATATTTTTAGTCCCATTTGCTTCCACTAACTGCTGACAAATAGTAATGTACTGTATGTATTCTCATGAAACAAAGTCCTTTATGTTTAGTGTTGAAAACTGCTTCTTAAAAACCTGCCCCTGGGTAAGCAGTAGGTCAGGGATTACATAATATGAACTGCTCACGCAGGTCATTCTACAGACCTTCTCTTTTTGTTGGCAGAGAAGGGGTTAACTCCGCATTGTTGTTTTTTTTTTTTTTCTTTTTTTTTTTTTGGACTGGAGCAGTTTTATTGGTTAACAGTAGGCGTGCTCTTCAGAGCTGGCAAACACATTACCTCAGGTAGGTGAGAACATTCATATAGAGAGAAACACAGGAAGACAATGAACGAACACACGCAGGAAAAGATTTTTTTGATTCTTCAGAACTTGCCAGCCTGCAATTACTGCTCTCCCTAGAATGTGAATTCACCTTTGCCTTGTATTCAAGGTTTCCAGATGGGAAACTGTGTGAGCCAGTACAGTGGGTAAGAACTGAAACCTTTTTTTTTTCATTCACACCTGTGACCATCTAGGTCATTTGAAGCCATGTTGACTTACTAGGGAGTTTCTGAGGTGATATGATTTGTGTTTTGAATCAGTGATTGTCCATTTCTTACAGCAGAGATCTGAGAAACAGTGAACTACACTGAGGCAGCTTGATGCTGTCTGAACAAGTCAGGTCCTGACACTGAAATGTGTAGCAGCCATTAAGGTGTTTTTTTGTGTCAAGGGCCTCTCAAGGCATGTATCCACATCCTGTTCATACAGGATTATTCGCTACAGATGATGCTCTTTTGGCCACTTTTATAGCTGACAGTAACCATAAATAGTTTGGTTTTCACTAGGATTAATGTTAGTCAGTTAGGTAGAGTAAGTTCATGTAGGCAGAACAGAGAAGAATAAAAGGGGAAACTGCATTAATAGGCAGTCAGGGTTCAGGCCACCAGCCTTCTGCATTGCATTATATCATACTGTACTGCTGACATGCTGTTGCATTTCTAGTTACTGTACACTCAGTCTTTAAGCCTCTGCCTTCTTACTGTTTATTTTCTAGTTGGCTCTCAACATCATTACAGGCTTTTTATAGCAACTGTCTAGTGCTAGCAAGTGCTAATGTAATGCACTGAGGCAGCTTGGAGGCTATTGATCGGGTCTTTAAAAGAGACTGAGAGAGCTTATGGCCGACAAAGACAGGCCATAAACATGTCAGATCTGATGCGGTCCTGAGACACGGTGTCCCAAGGTCCCTGAGGTATAAGACAGACATGTGAGCAGCTTTTTTTTTTTTTTACCAAGTGCTCACTTTTCTATCAAGTCATAGTCAGAATAATGCAAATAATACTTGTGTTCATTGTCTCCAACATGCCTGTGCAGTAACAATTCCAGGAAATGATCAATTTTAAGCTAAATTTAATGTCCCATCAAGTCCTGTGAAGGCTTTAGCACTTGATTTTACACTCTGTGAATAACTGCCCAGTTTGTTTGTGGTAGAGGAATTTCAGCTCATTCTACTAGTTCACTAGATGCTGTGAAAAGTGTGCTACAGACCCCAAACTTTCACATGCAGAGGCCTCTATGGTGTCATGACCTGTACTTTTTCTTGACTGGGACTTTTATCTATGATCACATAAATCATTAGTCATATTAGGAGTTTGTGTAATCAGCATTACTGTCAAAGGAAGTGACATACCTGGGTCGAGATAATACAGCCAAAAGGTTCCACCCATCACAGTGCCTGTGGCTATGAAATCAGCCTTTTTTTAGTTATTCAAGGAAAGAGACAGAAATGATAAATAAGATCCAAGTGCATTACAGCAGTGCCAGAATAATATGACACCAAAAGAGCATCTCAGATTTAGATGGCAGGGCCAGCCACTTACATAAATCTTAGATAGCAGGTACTTTGTGTATCACAACGATGTAATACCTACAGTAGTTCAGAATGTCACCCAACCTGGGCGATCATAACCCAGTTCACCCGAGGCTGTAATTTGTCACACAGGTCACATTGAAAGGCCATGGCTGACCTGTTACCAGATCAGGGGTTAACATCCAGGTTGCTTTGAGTGTTCTGTTTACTGTGATCAGAGAGGCAGACGATCCCAGATGGCTCCTAATGGAATAGCATCTGTTGAGCTTTATTTAGCGTAGAGCTGAGACAGGCAGTTATCCAGGTGACAGTGGAGAAAAAATCAGGTTGTGTTGTGATATTTTAGTTAACTTGAATTAAAACTGAAAGATTTGTGGAACAAAACACTTTTAGAAGCTGTTTGTTTTTGCTTTTATTATATGAATCGACTAGCTACATTTGGAAATGCTATTTCAGTTAATCACATATTCAAGAAAGGCCTGTAGCTGGGCTGCATATAAGATGTGTTTAGCCTTTATTGTTACATTTTCAAAATTCCACTTCCTTTATAAGAGACATATGTGGAAGATCATCTCTGGCAGCAACAAGCTACAATATACAAGCATCTCTGGGGCTTTAGCACTGTGCCTGAAGTCACTCTGTGCAGTTGATAACACACCCTGAGTAACTATAAGATAATATGACTCAGATATGAAGTGTCCACAACTCATTTGTACAGTATGAAGCTATGGCTCCCTGTTGTAATAGAACTTTATACTGTATATTCATCTGCTGTAAGTCATTCTGAAGAGCTTTGTTATAACAGAGACATAAAATGCAGCAGATCTTTAAGAGGACAGACATTGTGTTTCATAATTTAATGCTTATATAAATTTCTTGAGGTGATATTGTTACTGCACTTTTAATATGTCGGTCAAGAAACAACTTTTGTTCTTTTTAGGTGGATGTGTTAGTTTATTCTTAAGTACAACCAGATTTCTTCATTACACTCTTACAGTTTTGTTATTAAAAGTGTTTAATGAAAAAAAAAAGTCAGCTAACAATCACATTTAAGTCTGCCACCTTATTACCACATCATCTCACCTCTTTAAATTCCTCAAATCATAACCACTTTCAGTCAGAGAGGAGTCTTTCAAACAAATGATCACAAACAATTCTATCCCGTTTTGCTGTTTTCTTCCATCTTTCCTTAGTTTCTACCCCCCCCCCCCCCCCCAACTTACAGCTCTGCTGTCTCCAATTCATCACTTGCTGAGAAAGATGAAGTGAGCTGATGAAGTAAAGCAGACACTGATTTGAGAGAGTGAAAAGAATAGAGTGACCAGATAACAACACCGTTGTATGTGTTTTCATTTCCTGTGATGTTAGATAAAGTGATCCTTCATAGGCAGAATGAAGACCTTATCAAAAGCAGATCATTTATCATCTATGAACACTTCATGGTGGAGCTCACCATCTTCCTGTTTCTTTTTGACTTGCTTTGCTGACTTAAACCTTATCATAAACAGAATAATGAACAAAATCAAGGTGCTGGGAAATGCTATCAGAAAGGAGAATAGAAATAATTTTTTAAGTAATGAGCCATAGTGACTGTTAACGAACCAAGTATTCCACATTTTTGTAACTAACCAAGCCATCCTTTCTCTGTCATGTGCAGCCAGGTACCAGTCAGTGGCAGCGGCCCCAGAGATCGGGAACTGCCCGATGTCACCTCCCTCCCTGCCAAAGTTAATCTGGGGCTGGTGCTTGGGGAGAGTGAGGATGGCCATGGCAACCAGCTTGCTGTACCAACTTCAGCAAGTGAGGGCAGCGCCAGCCTTGGAGAACCAGAGGATGATGGGAATCACTCCCATCCCTCCCACTCTCGTTCTTCCAGCCAGTGCAGTGCCACATACAGCAATCTGGGTAAGAAAGACGCAAAATGGTTATGGTTTCTTAAACTTAAGGGCACAAGGGTGGATTAGTGCTGTGGATAGCTGACCTAAAGCTTTAAGCATGCACCTAAAACAGTACTATACTGTGTGTGCGCAAGTGAGGTTACCACAAATTCTGTGAGCTTTGTTGTCTAAATGATCATTGGTCCTTCTGTATAGCACCGATGTTCTGTTAATAAACACTAACACTACCACTACTACATGCATTAAATGATTTTACGCCACAGTGGTTCCAAGTGTTTGTAGTTTATGGTGAACAAGGTTTTCTTTAGAAAATGTTTCTCAGAAAGAATGTTGGAGAGAAAAATGAGTTGCAAATAAACTGCTGATGGCGAGGTCAAAGTATGTTCATCTCTAGGAAACAGAATACATCTCCTTCCTGAGCACAACCTCCTCTGAAACACAGCTGGAGCTCAGAATCTTGACACGTCTTGTCACCCACAGCCTGTAAGTTAGAATTTAGAATAACATTTCTCAAGGATCTTCTCCTTTTGTTGTGTTTCTGAAAACTGTATTTGATGTGATTGACCAGCTTGTGCAAGGTTTACACTAATACCTACATTATAAGAACATATATTGTTGTCTGCTCCATTATTCTGCATGGAGATGAGGTTTCAAACAATGTGCTGGCTTTTATTGGTTTAAGTGGTTAAAAATGAAATTGTGAGGAAAAACGTAGCAAATATTAGAGGGGAAACTATTTAAAACCTAGCTTCTTGATATTTTTGTCTCAGCATCACATGACAGTTTCAGACATAGTCTTTAAACAAAAAGAGAAATTATCTATATTAAATGGAAGATAATACTTCAGCCTGTACCATTACATTCCTCCAGTACCATGATGCAAAGTCCCTGTTCTGGAGCCTGTTTGTGACAACTTGGCAGTGAACGTTTCATCATCAGATTTTGTCAGCAGCTCAGGACGACAGGTTCAGCGCTGGCGGAATGATGAGCACATTAAAACCAGGCTTATGCAGCAGTGTGTGGAGGACGATGTAGTATAGAGTAGACACAGCTTTCCAAACATAGCTGGACAGCTACAACACAAAGCTCTCTGTGTGGGAAAAGATCTCACTGTGATCAAGTGGTGTGTGAGAATGAAAGAAATAGAAACAAAGTGATAGGGTGAGGAGTGTGAGTTTGTGGAGCAGAACCACTGCTGAGGTGTTTCACAGTGTATTTCAACGTGGTCTTCAGACTCATCAGAGGCAGAGTGTTTGTGTATCATTGTTGCCCTAATTAGGCTCTTGTTTTGTTTAGTTTTACAAGTGTATGTGTAAACTGGGTATACTGTGTGTGTGTGTGTGTGTGTGTGTGTGTGTGTGTGTGTGTGATGCCCAGAATGGACACTAACTCTGTGGATGGTTATACTGTGAATTTGCTAAAAGCTCCCTGGATGATGCATGATGAGGTGCCTGCAGCCTCAACATGCTCTTCTGCAGTAGTACATGCTGTTAATGAGGAACAACACAAGTGAGTGTTTGTATGTTTGCCTGCCTGCAGTCATTGTACAGAATGTCGGTTTTGTTTTGGAGTGTGGGCGTGGCTTTGAAGATTAAGAATCAGCCACTGAGCATGATGCCTGTTTTTAAGTTTCCAATCTGTCTCATCTTTTCTACATGTTTCAGAAATGATTTGCTTTTCCTCTCTGTGTGCTTTTCACGTTTGGCTGCAGTAGTGTTCTCTCTTCACACATTCACTTTTCAAGCTTAAGTGTCTCTCTCTCACTTGCTATATACAGTATACACACACTCGTGCTTTAATCAGAGCATCAGGCAGTGGGGGGCAGAGCGCTCACTGCTTCATTCCCTGAGAAATACACAGTATTGGTGGGAGCGTAGAGTCTGCCTGTTGGCGCCAGCAGCTCCGCGTACAAGTATCCTCTAAGGTATGGAAGAAGAGAAAAGCATTTCACTCTGCTGTGCCGCATTTACCTGAAAACTTTAAGGCATTAGTGGAATTGAGGTAGGCTTCTTTCTCCTCCCTGTCTGTCTGTACTCGTCTTTCGTCACCTGTCTGTTTCTGTTGTCAGGTGTCTCCTGTTCACACCCTTGCTTCTGTGTTTCTCTGTCACCTCCTTCACTTTGACCACCTCTAGCCACTCCACTGCACTCGCTTCATCCCACCCCAATTATTCCTTCTATCTTTCCCATCACCTGCTCTTTTTGCAGTGTCAGACTTAGTTTTATTGTGACACAATTGCTGCAATAATCACTTTGCTGCAGCAACAAGTTCTTTTATCTCCTTACAAACAAATACTGGAAAATATCTGTTTACTGGGATTGTGAATGGGATGCCTTATCTGGAATTCTTGTAATTGTTTTATGTACAGGAGCTCAGGATTTTTTGGATTTGAAAGTGCCTTAGCTTGATTATAATCAGCCTAAGAGGAGGTGTTAAAACCGTAAATGAATTTGGGACATAGTTTTGATTTATATGCTAAATCTGTCTAAAGAGAGAGGAAATCATTAACCCAACCCTGCTAGACAATGTGTGTAACAAGCCATGTGTCAGTTCTTTAATATTTGCATTGATAATGTGACAATCAGCGGCAGAGCGAATGTGATGCCTCTACGTTTGCATGTAGTGGTACCCAGGTTTGGGCTGAGGACACTGACAGCAGAAGCTAAATAGCTGTGTCAGGCACATTAGGTTCTGTGTTCCACGGAAGAGGAATTCATCTTTCCCACTGTCATTAGTTACAATGTTTAATTGAATTGCCAGACACAGATACAAGGTTAAATTTAATCATCTGACCCTTCACAGTAACATTACAGCATGTTTTGTTGTTGTGTCAAAAGTCAATTTGATTGAAATTTAGCTTCTCAAGTGTCGAAAATTACATTTGAAGATTTGACTAATTTAATTTCATGTTTTTCTGTTAATTGTAAGGTGATATATTAGGTTATCTCCCCACGCCAGTTGTTATACTAGCATTTTCTATTATGATTACACCAAATATATTCTTGATTTTAAGTGAAGTGACAGTCACAGACCGAGGTAGTGCTGTGTAACTGCTGCAGTAGAAGAACCCTACGACCGGATGGGTGTGAGGTTGGTTTTCTTGGATGGATTACTTCAGATTGGTGGAGCAACACATTCAAAATCTTCATTCCTGGGAGGATTTACAAGACTCATTAACTTCATCCTGGCTGCTTTTTTTAAAGGCTTCTACTGCTTTCTTAAGTTGATGGCAGCATGATGCACACGTGAGAAGTTACCAGTAGGAGTTTTATCATCAGTAGCATTGTGCTGCCATGCAAAGAGAAGTGGTTTGTTTAAGCAGATTCCTTTTTTCCTGTGGGGATGAGAGAAGTAATTTCTCAGAGGATGTAATTTTGAAAGCCTCCATCTTAGAACACTCAGCAGTCTCTCATCCTAATCTTTCAAGAAACTGGGGTGTTCCCTGGTGAGTTAAAAGCTCAGGCTTGCCTGTGACCTTGTACGCCCATTCAGTTAACGCTATCACGCTGTTTCATTGCTATCGTGCAAGTGGCATGAAGCCTCTGTTCTTTTCATCTTATCAGGCACTTGTGTGTGTGGCCTATATGCCTCTGTGGTCCTCACTTCCAGACAACAGTGAGGGAGTCCAATAAACCCGTCAGTTCCTTCCCACCACCATCTCAGAAAAATAAGGTCACTTCAGTCCACTGATAAATGTGCTCTCCACGCTGCCTCTTTAAGCCTCACTGAGAACAGAGCTACAGATTGAGCCAGGCAGCTGGACGGTTGGAGGGACGACCTGTGCCCAGCTGTCCTCCCCCCCGGCATGAATTCTCCTTAGGACCACCAGCTCCCTCACGTGCTGTAGCACACAACCCCGTGTCAGCCTCTTGTCCAGACAGCAACCCAGTGGGCGGCTGTGAACGTTTTTTTATAATGAATGATTTTACAATATGTCTACAGGAAAACAAATCAAAATCAAAACTTGTAAGTAAAATTGGAAGTGAAAGCAAGTTGCTAAATCTCAGAAGGATGACCTCACTGTTTTGCTTTCCTTTATTTACTATAATCAATCAGACCTCTGGAGGTGGAAGGTATATTCATAAGCTCTACTTTAGTAAAAGTACCGATATGGAAATGCAAAAATACCTAAATCCAGACTACATAGCATTGCACCCTTAATATGTTTACTTTATAAAATTGAAATACTAAAATACATGTACCTCAAATTGTGCTTATGTATTGAAGTAAATATACTTGGTTAATTTCCACAAATGTCTTTCCTGGTCGAAGCTGCCATGTGCACAGCATTGTGCTTGCCACTCAGTTTTATATGCTGCAGTGGTTTACACTCTATCAGCTTGAATTTCATGGATTCCTCTTCACACCATCAACATGGTATTGTTGTCCTCTCCTCCAGGTCTGTCCAGAGCCAACATGATCCCACTGAAACAACCACGACACATGAAAGCATCTAATGACACCTTGGCCTCCATCGACCTGGACGGGCTTTCTGACCAGCCAGCTCCTAAGGCTACACCACCACCACTGCCCAAGAAGGCTGTACCTCGCTCCAGCACTGAACCCAGCCTGGGAGGCAAAGAGCCAATCCAGGGAGCCCTTAAACCTCGGGCCGAGGCTAAGCCTGGGGGCACCAACCTGAGTGTGGCCAACCCTCTCTATGACTTGGACTCCACGTGGGAGACAGTTAGTCAGTGCTCCTCTCTCAGCTCTGAGCCTCATCGAGCCCACGATCATGAGAGCGGTGACTCCCTGGAGAGGCCATCAGCTGTCACAGTCACCAACAAGAGCCACACAACTAACAACCCATCCTCACCGGTGCCCCAAACTGCATCTGCTGCACCCAGTACCACCACTGGCAGAGAGAGGAGGGCCTGCCCGAGTACAGAGTCTGTGGCCACAAGGGGTCGGACAACAGGTCGAGGTACTGCCACTGGAGGAGCCTGCTTCAAACCCCAGAGAGCTGCTTTTTACAGGGGTTTGGACAGCTGGGATGAGGTGGTGGGGAGGATCCGGGGCCTCCACACAGAAACGCTGCGGAAACTGGCAGCAAAGTGTGAGGACCGTTTCATGGCTGGCCAGAAGGATCACTTGAGATTCGGCACTGACAGCTGGTCCCACTTCAGGCTGATCACTGGGAAACCCTGCTGTGAGGCTGGGGATGCTGTTTACTACACTGCCTCCTACGCCAAGGACCCACTGGTCAACTATGCCATTAAGGTGAGATGTTCAGTTTGTTCTGCCAAATGACAGCATTCAGAATCACCACTTCCAAGCTTTACCATACTATTTGAAATCCTCACACCTTGTATGACCCTGAAACACTAACTGATTGCATGTACTGAAACTACTTTGTCCCACTTTCCTAAGTATATGCAGCTGCTGACCCTAAAATATTTGTATGCTTTTACTGAAATATCGCAACAAACAGCTTATTTTCACCATCATGTTAGTTTCTCTGTGTTTGTATTTGGAGACCTTGCTTTGCATTCTCCCTGTATCAAACGGATTTGATATATTTTTGGTAGTTTCTGTCCGAGCAGTAGATTTATAAAATCCTTATATTTTGTTTATAGGATGTGGAATCTCCTCCCACTTTCTTGGCTGTGCAGCAGGAAGGTGTTTTTGCTGAAATATTGGCATCTAAACCTTGAGCCTTTAGGGCACAACATTGTGCAATAAAGCCTGTATGTGCACGCATTTGATTTTTTTCCTTTATATAACCGGTGCCTTTCTGTGTAGAGTTTGCATGTTCTCCCTGTGCCTGTGTGGGTTCTCTCCAGGTGAACATGACATGCAGCTTATGTTGACTGATGACTCTAAATTGCCCGTAGGAGTGGATGTGAGTGTGCATGGTTGTTTGTCTACATGTCAGCCCTGTGATCGACGGGCAACCTGTCCAGGGTGGACCCCGCCTCTCACCCAATGTCAGCTGGGATTGGCTCCAGCTCCCCCATGACCTTCTTCAGGATAAGGGGGATAGATGATGGATGGATGGATAGATAACTGCCTGCAGGTATTGCAGTAGGTGTATGAGAGAGAGAGAAAGACAGAGAGGTGGAGGACGGAGTTCTGAAATGAAATACAAAGCAGATATGGATGAAGGTTGCATTATTTACAGGTTATGAAACTCTCTCCACTCCCCAGCACTTCAACCTTTCCTTCATATTAACAACAGCCTCAAGAGAGTTTTTTTGTGTGATGCTCATCCATAAATAAGGCAACCAGGAGCAGCAGAACACAAATAGGCCCAACTTCCTCATTAAACCTTCCCCACCTCTCCATTTTAATGCAGCCCAATTGTTCTCCTGTTTTCTTAACCCCATAAGTGTAGTTGATTCCCATGCAAATGAGAATTTACATGTTGTGTGAATGCTAGTTTTAATTTGGTTCTAATTGTTCATTAGCATGTCTGTGTGAGTTCCTGACTCACAGGGATTCAGTGAGCCAGTCTGTCGGCATTAAGAAAACAAGAGGGGACAATAAATAAAATGGATTGTATGCTAACCTGGAGCTCTGTGTTATAATCAGCGCTATAGTGGTGAAAAGTTTACAAATATAGTATGTCCTTAAAGAATGACCTGCTGTCATCTCAGAGCCAACATGTCTACATCCAGAGCACATGAACATTCATACAGAGTATACACTGTACTTGAAACACGTTTCCTGGTGCAGAGTTACTCGTTTTACATCACAATCTAATCAACTGTACATAAATCATGCCAAAGACCACCAAGGTTGATGTGATAAAGTGAAATGATTTAGGTGGCACCAGTCATAAAGGAATATACACATGTTACTCAGCAAGGGATTAATGTAGAGCAGGGCGATAATTCAGTTTTATCATATATTACTTATACATGAACATAGAAATTATAGCAAGATTTACTTTAATACTTCAATGTCATTTGTGTTGTGAAAATATTTCTTATTTATTTTATTTTATTCTGACAGGAAAATGTTTGCTAATGTTGGTTGTGTCAGTAAAACTGACTGATTTAGTGATCTGTGCACAGATTACTCTCTGTTAGATAATTAATTATAAAGTGACACCATTAATTTGAAGAAAGTTATAAAAGTTGTTCAACCAGAAATCTCTTCGTAATATATTTTGACTTTTGTTGATATTTTAGTCGAGGCTGGGGAGACAGATCCTCTTCTCTTCTCTGTGCTGTGATCAAAGTGTATAAAGACTGAGCTGCAGAGGTTGTCACTGTGGTTTAGGAGCCAGAGACGCACTCTTACTGCTGCCTTTAACAGCCTGGAGTCTGCTATCAGAGAGAAATAAACCGTATCAATGTTCACAGATAATACTTCATCACGTATTCGTTACAGAATATTTGTAATTTGACAAATTGTAATTTAGCAGCAGCTCCATCATGACACGTTGCATTATTGTTAACCTTCTCATGCATGTCTTTGTTTATCTAGATCTGTCGGAGCAAAGTGAAGGAGACCCAGCAGCAGTTTTTCCACAGCCTCGCAGTGAGACAGAACCTGCCTGTGCACTTCAACATCCAACAGGACTGTGGACACTTCCTGGCTGACGTCCCCACCCGTCTCCTGCCCTGGGAAGAAGAAGATGAGGAAGAAGAGGATGAGGAAGAAAAGGCTAATGAGCTAAAAGAGAAAGAGATTAAGACTGAAAACAAGGCGACAGACTCCAATGCCCCTAACGGTAAAGTAGATGAAACCCCAACAGCAGGTCACATGAACGCTGCTGGTCACTTGAAGAGCCGAGTGGTAGTCATCACCCGGGAGGTCCCCTTCCAGACAGTGGCCGATTTTGTTCGAGAAGGTGTGGCCCGACACGCTCATAACCCAGAGCTGTATGAGCGCCAGGTCTGTCTGCTGCTGCTGCAGCTGTGCTCCGGCCTGGAGCACATGAAACCTTATCACGTGACCCACTGTGATCTGCGACTGGAGAACCTGCTCCTGGTTCACTGCCAGCCTGGCAACCCCTGGAATCTGGACTTACTCGAGCCCAACAACAACAGCAACAGCAGCAGCTCTGGTGCGACCTCTGCCGGTGCTGCTGCTTCTGCTGCCAGTGCCACCTGCCCCGCCCGCCTTATCATCAGTAACTTTTCCCAAGCAAAGCAGAAGAGCACTCTCATGGTGGCTGACCCTGGTTCGCTGCGCGACCAGTCACGCCTGGCACCTGAAATTATCACAGCTACTCAATACCGCAAGTGTGACGAGTTTCAAACAGGTATTCTCATCTATGAGATGCTGCACCTATCCAACCCCTTTGAGGAGACGCCGGAGCTGAAGGAGAGGGAGTACACCTGGGCAGACCTGCCGCCACTGCCTGTCAGGTCGCTCTATTCACAGGGTCTGCAGCAGCTGGCCAGGTTACTGCTCACAGTCAACCCCTCTGAAAGGATCCGGATGTCCGAGGCCCGGGCCTGCCTGCAGTGCCTCCTCTGGGGCCCTCGGGAGGACTTGTTCCAGGCGCTGGGCTGCAGCAGCACAGGCCCCATTACAGGGACTTCTGCCAACCAGCGCGAGGCCACCCTCAAGAACTGGCTGGACCTGAAACGAACACTGATGATGATCAAGTTTGCAGAGCGCTCGCTGGACAGAGCATGTGGTGTAAGCCTGGAGGACTGGCTGTGCTGCCAGTATCTGGCATTTGCCACCACAGACACCCTGAGCCGGGTGGTGCAAATCCTGCAGCAGTTTCAGTCTCATCCTCAGTCCCAGAATCAGAGCCAGCCAGTACATACAGCACAGAACCAAACCCAAACACATCTAGTTCACACCCTCCACCTGACTCAGTCACAGCCGCTCTGAATTTCACTTCTCAACTGTTACTATGGCAACAGCTCCAACTTGCCCTGTGTGGTCCCTGTACGGACGCTAAAGTGCGATGTAAGCTAATAGTCAGCACTGTTGTTTGCAGCAGCCACAAGGCTGCGTTCTCATCACCGGCTAGGCTTCAGATTAAAGAGAGCATGATGGTCAGAAGTCCTGCAGATCCGCCTTCTTCTGTTCCTTTAGCTTTTCACCTCTCTTATAACACTTCACCTGTTCTAGATCAGAGATTTGCCAAATGTGTGAGGGGTTTTAACTTTTTCATTATTCTTCAGCCAAATTCTGGAAGATTACAGAGCTAAATATTAAATATCGTTTCCATGCCAGCTGTCTCCTTGAGCCAGTGTGAAATGGAATACGTTTGAGGTTTTATAGTATGAATGAATATTTTACAGAGAAGTTTCATTAGACCTCTGAAGACAGACTACTTTTTAGAAAGGAAGCTTGAAATCACATCAGAAATTAGCATTTTTGCCCAAATGGTTTAATTCACACTGTTGTATTTTAAGCAACAGTTCAGTCTTCAACAGTCACAGATTTAAAACATGTAAAGAACCAATGCCAATGAAGGGAGACCTTTTTAAACGAAGAGAGTGGTGAAATATAGAAAGGTCAAAATGAACTGCTTGACCAAAATCAAACCTAATAAGGGTGGGGTTTTCTAATTATTTTTTTAACCTAGACTGACATAATAGTGAAATGTTTTACCACTGAGGCCAAAGATCTGCCACAAATTGTGCATTTAGAGTTTAAAGATGCTTTAAATATAAAGTCAAACATAATTTTACAGTAACTAGATTTCTTATTGGTTAGTCCCAGTGTTGGCGCAGCTCAGTTCAAATCAGTTAAATGTCATTGGTTATGGTTTAGGCTAGACCTAGGGTTGAATCTAAGTGACAGCGCCGTTGTATCATATCTTACTATACATTTCTTAACAGGGCTTTGAACGAGGTAGGAGATGAACACTAAGCAAATATTGTAGTTCTCATAGCACAGTAAACAAGTTTTAGCCGCTTTGAAGTTTAAATGGGACACACCCGGCCTGGATGTTTGCTGGGTTTCTTGTCCGAGTATGTGCAATCATTATCTTTCTTTTGAGCGTTTTTGCCCAGCTTTGTACTAATCCTTTCTTCAGTTAGTTTTGTGGCACATAAAGTGACTGATTTTAAACTGTTAGAAACAAAGTGAAGTTCACTGTAAAGAGCTTCTTCCGGTGGAACAGAGACGGATGTTTCAGGGACTGCAAAAAGTTCTTCTTTGTTTACTGTGTTGTTTTTTGTCAAGTTGTTTTTGAACGGTTCTGCGTTACAGATGATATTTGCACATACAGTGTGAATGTTGGCGCTGCTCAACAGAGACTGAGAACATGATGATGATGATGATGATCTTGGAGAGATTGAGAAATGGTCCTGTGAATTTGAGGAACTAGATTTGATTTGTTTTGTGGAATGTAAACGTTTTGCCTGGACTGAAACAGACATGTGGATCTGGTCTCTTCTGTTCACACTCACCTTGCAACTGAACCACTTTGTTTCACATAAACTCTATATGAACAAAACAACCACAGCCTTGAAGAGAAACTGCTCAACCACTGAGCCTTCCATTCCTCCTCCCTTGTTTCCCAACCTTATGTAGTTTTCCTGCAGCATATCCTGTGCTGATGCTTCCCGCTTGTCACTCAACAGGTTTATTCTGCTTTAATTAAATCAGCTCTGTGTTACTGATCAGTACCCATCAGCCTGGAGTCAGTGGGAGCAAAACATGTACACAAGCCTCTGTGACCCCATATGAGTTTTATGCACAAGGGTTTTTTTTGTGTGTGTGGTTATGATGAACAAAACACCCTAAAACCATCTTTATCTAACTGTACTTGGTGTAAATTAGTGCAGAATGTTCCCTTGATGTGCATCTCTGGGCGCGATGTTTTTAAACTGACTCTGCTTTGCATCAAAAGTTTACTTCGTTTGTTAAGTTTTTCTTTTCCTATCAGAAAACTGCAGCAGTTCAACTTGTCACCGGGGGGAAATGTACTTTTGGGATCAGAATCCTGTGTTCCTTTTGTTGCAGATGTACAGTATGAGACTTGATGGTCCATGGAGTGAAAATGAGACAAAGCAGGTGTGAGTTTGTCGTTGCATCAAAGGGGCTGTGTACTGAGGAATGAGTGCAGACAGCACTGGTGGCTGTTCTTGTATCTAGAGATCCAAGCCTTTATATAGTATTAAATATATATAACTTTATCTATTTTAATCCACACACTATTTTGTCAAATACAGAGCACCTCTGGTTCTATGTCTTTAGAGTGTTGAAATATCATTAAATTCATTTTTAATCCTTTAATTGACGTTATTTATCCTTGCTTGATTTGGAGGAAGAAAAAGCAGAGTAGTTATCACTGTCCTAAACAAAGGATAAATAAAATGACTGATATTCTTCAACTGCATTAATATACAGAACAATGTACAGTATTTTTACCCCTCTTGTAAAAATGTACCTGCTTAGGAGACGAACCACTTTGAACAGGGGCTGCAGGATGCCTTTTTTAAATCTCACCATTCTTCACCTGTATGGCCGATAGTGAATATTTTTCCTCTCTCTCTTTCTTTGAATTATTTGCCACTGAACAGAAAAGCAGAAGCTCGAAGGCTTCTATTAATATGTGTACAGTATGTCCCCTGGCTCGTTGCCATTCATTGTTGATCGCATTATCAAACAGTAACAGATCAATAAATATATGTTTTTATATATAAACCTTGTGCCAGTGTGTTATTGTTAACTGTGGTAAGCTTGATTTGACCCTGCAGCTGGTGTTACTGGGCTAGAGATGAATTTTGTGGCATTTTTAGCCAATTAAAAAGCCTGTTTCGCTGCCAGTCGAGTATTTTAGTTACATTTGTGCAATGAAAGCTTTTGTTTCTGGTCTTTTTGGACCTGAACTGATTGATTGATTGATTGATTTATTTATTCTTTCAAACATGCAGACAGAACAGAACAGAACAATGAACAAATGACAATAACACACATGATTACACATATCCAACCAATACTAATTCAAAATCAGTTTGCTTACACCTAATACATGTTTGAATGGAGTAGGAAGAAGTCAGACTTATCCAGTCCTACCCCATGACATCATATTATACAAAATTTATGCAACATTGGCTGCAAGCAATATCACTACATAGATAAAGCAGATTGTTACTTATTCGTGCATATATCTTGTATAACACATACATTTATATTTATATTTAAACTCCTTAATTCTGGTACTATTTTTCATGTCCACAGTTAAGTTATTCCATAGTTTGACCCCACTTATAGAAATACAAAATCTTTTTTTGGTTGTTCGTATAGCATGAACTTTTAAATTTAAATGTCCCCTTAAGTTATACCCCCCTTCCCTTTCACCAAATAGCTTTTGGATTCCACCAGGCAATAAATTGTTCCTGGCCTTATACATAAACACAGCAGTCTTATATCCCACTAAATCAAAGAATTTTAACAATTTAGACTGTATGAAAACTACATTTGTATGATCCCTATACCCCATCTTGTGCACAACTCTTATCGCTCTCTTCTGTAATATGTACAATGGTTGAAGTGAACTCCTGTATGTATTTCCCCAGTTTTCAACACCATACTCCAAATATGGCAAAATCAATGAACAATACAAAATCCGCAATGCTTTAACGTCCAGCATATGTCTAACCCTTGCCAATATCGATATATTTTTAGCTATTTTATGCTGAACATGTCTAATATGAGATTTCCAGGATAATCTGTCATCAACCATTACCCCCAGAAATTTAATTTCATATACTCGTTCAATGTTGGCACCCCCAATTCTCAATTGAAGTTCATTATGTGGTCTACGGTTCCCAAATACCATATATTTAGTTTTCTCTAAATTCAAAGATAGTAAATTATTATCACACCATTTCTTTATCTTCCCAAATTCCTCTGAAACCCTTACAGAGAGTTGCTGTAAGTTTTCATCTGATGCCCAAATGGTAGTATCATCAGCAAACAAAACCATTTTAACAGTTTCAGAAACCTTACATATATCATTGATGTATAATATAAATAGTTTAGGTCCCAACACAGAACCCTGAGGCACTCCACACACAATGTTCAGCTCACTTGATTGATATTCACCCAACCTCACAAATTGACGCCTCTGTGTCAAATAACTTCTGATCCATTTCCCAACCAATCCTCTGATCCCATATTTCTCCAACTTATCCATTAATAGTTCATGATTAACTGTATCAAAAGCTTTTTTTAGGTCAATAAATATCCCCATCGTATATTTTTTCTCATCCATAGCACTTGTAATGTCCTCCATCAGGTCAGTAATGGCCAAGGATGTTGATCTTTTCGACCTAAAACCATATTGACAATCAGATAAGATATTATGTTTATCAATAAATGTGTCTAGTCTGTTATTAAAGAGTTTTTCCAGAATTTTTGAAAATTGTGACAACAGAGAAATCAGTCTATAGTTTGTGAGGTTGTGTTTATCACCAGATTTATACAATGAAAGCTTTTGTTTCTGGTCTTTTTGGACCTGAACTGATACCACTGCATCATAGATTCAGCCAAATAAAGATCATCCTAGCGCCTTGGATTGATAATGAGCCTCTAAATTATTTACAGTGACAGCGCTAAAAGTGGAAACATGTTAATCATTTCATTGGTTTAGAACATCAACCAAAGCCATTTGATTTTTTTACTCTGTAAGCTCAGTGTTTGAATTTAATTTTGCTTTGTTAATCAAATAAAAAAAACTAGCTCATCCTATTTTTCTTTGCAAGCTCATCTTTATCTTAACAATGATATTCCCACAGTGCACTTAATCAAGTGATATACTGTATTTATCAATTAAGTAAATCATAGATACAGTGTTTTGATATGCATAGATCAATGGATGTTTCCAGAATGTTACATATGCAACCTCGAAGCCCAAATTTTTATCCCAGTACACCAGCAATCTCCAGTGAAATTTAGGGATTTGGAAATGAATTAAACATCATATCAAAATGAGGGTGTGTGTCTTTTTAAAAATACCATTGTTTAAAAAAACAACACTGAAATGTTCTTTCTTCTAAACTAAAAGCATGTTATTGAAATGTTTTGTCATGTTTATCCTTTTAATACAAAGCTAAGAGGCTAAAATAACAGTTTGCTCCCAGTGAAACATTGTTTTGCAAGAGTCACCACATTGCACTACAACAGCTCCGCCAGCAGATGGAGACATTCAAAAGGCAGAGAAACAACAGACTGCACCACAATCCTGTGGTTAATCCTCATGACTAACCATTATAGTGATTACTTAGATATTAGCTTGTACCACAGTCAGTTTTGATTTAAACAATGGGAAGCACAGAGGGAACAATGGGAACCTGATACCAGATAGAAAAATAATCAAAAAATAAAATATGTTTCACTAGGACAGCATCTGCTGTATCTGCATCTTTAGCAACGTCTGGAATAGGTTCTTCAGATAAGTATAACATAAAACAAGACAGTGGTGCAAAATGCTGTTTGCCCAGTCAGGAGAATAAAACTCTTCTTCCTCCTCCTCTTAGGTTGTTTACAGGGTAGGGGCTGTGCAGATTGTTCAGAGACCCAGTGGAAATCCTTAGTCTGAAATCCATCGCATGAAGCCGCGGTGAGTGTTTCCTGTAGGCAGTAAACGTCATGTTTGGATCAAGAGTGATGCTCCAGTAGGTCTGTTACACTGCTTAATCAATAATCTAGTTGAATGAGGTCAAAGCAGACCTGTGGAGAGGAAATGTGATGACGGCGGGCGATTTTCATAAGGCATCCACCAGGTGATCAGTAAATGACTGTGGTGGGGTGTATCAGACACAGACTAGCAGCTGGAACAATACCAGCAGGGTGTGGATGAGGGGAAAGCTGTTGGCAGAAAGTGGAATTGCTAGAGTGTTGTACTTAGTACAGTTTTGAGGTATTTGTATTTTACTTGAGAAATTGAATTTTATGCAACTTCTAGTCCACTGCTTTTCCTTAACAACTACGCTTGACTCAGTAAATCCATCTGTTACAACGTCATATAAAGTGTGACTTTCTAGAAAGTGGCATTTGAACTATTTTAACTTCATCTAAGTATAACTGTGTGGTGCACAGCTGGGTGAAAAATGGTTTAATTTGGCTTTAACTGGATTCTTTGGGAATTGCCTGGTGGAGAACATGAATAGGGATGTTTCTCTATCAGGGGTGTCATCACTGCGCACTTCCCACCTCCAGTATAGACAGTTATGTCATTTCACACTGAATCATCCCTAACAGCTGAAATCTCACAGGCTCCAGGAGGAGGTGGCTTGTTATTTGTTGACAGAATTTTTCAGGTTGGGGGGTCATTTGTGGGTGTTAGTCTAAGGAGGGATGGAACGGGCTTGAAAAAGTTTGGCTGTCCCTGAAATGCACCCACACGCTTCTCCCCCCCGTGCACCCGTTACGTAAAACCAGACTGTGTGTCAGTAAGAGTGTGTGCAGCAGGCAGGTCTTCGTCCTCTCCTGCGCTGCTGCTGCTGTGGAGCTTTGGAAGAGGAAGCGGTGGTCGTGTTATTGAGCGCCCAGCAGTGGAAGTTACGCTACAGGGGTGGGACTTTCTTTCTGCAGTCGGTCGGGGGTGAGCAGCGACTCGCAGAGAAATGCCTCTGGCAGCATCTTTCCAGACTCCAGCGAGCAGCGGCAGATACCTACGGACACCTCAGGGCTGAGGATAAACACTCCTCGTCCTCTTCCTCATACCTCCGCTCCTTTTCATCCTCCAGCTCCAGTCTAAAGGCTCCGGATGCGCTGAAACGGGAGGAGTGAGAACGCAGTTGCCCTCCCCTTCTCCATCCAGGGGATACATAGACCGGACCGACACCGGTGTCATTGGATGGAGAGAGGTGCCTGAAGAAGAAGGGAGAGCGGTGGAGTTGGTCTACCCCCCTCCTCCTCCTTCCTCCCTACTGCACCAAAAGAAAACTCCGGGTAAGATATGCGCTCTCACTCAGGCCGTTTGGTCCCATCGAGCACCTGCCAAGAGCCGCTGCGCTCCTGCTCTCCTCTCTTCACTAACATGCATCATGGCGACACTTTAGACTCGGCATGCCTCTTTAATTCTCCTCTGATTCTCTGTCGATAGTAAATGGATTCATCTGAAGCGTACAATGCACTATGAATGCCTGTGAATGCACCTCACAGATGGGATGGCAGGCTTTTTTTTCTGGCACACCATTTCCGCGTCTCCGCTCTTGTCTCTCGTCGACCCACACACTATTTCGCATTGCATACACCCTGGATTAGGAGCAGGTTTTGGTCTGTGTTCGCGGCAGGCTTCAGTGGATACAGGGGTTGAAGGAGGGATAACAAATGGCATCGAGAGCAGCCGGAGCTGTCACTGCAGCATCACTCTGCTGAACTCCAGCTCAGAACTGTGGCCCGAAAAAAACTTGGATCTTTAGAGGAATGTAGAGTAAAATTAAACCAGCTAAAAGTCTGATAGCAGTCTTTGGGTTGCAGAATTGAATTTATGCTGTTTTAATGTCTGAAAACCTTTAAGACTGGGTATACTGGGGGGTGTATGTGTAGGTTAGAGAGTGTAAAACTCAAATTTGTGAATTTTGGCCAAATAGTTAAATAAAATGTACTTCAGCTCCAACCCGAGTTCCAAATTATTTTTCTAAATATGAATACATTTTGAATCATGTTAAATAAAGTTTGAGAACCACTAAGCAGGCTGCTTTGGAAACATTCAGCACCAGTGCTCGGTTACTTTTGACAAAGTCTGGCTGGTGCTCAGAAAGCCTGAGTCCTGTTCCTTTGAAATCAAATTGTGTTCACTTTTGTACCACTTGACCTTCTCAGTACCAAACTAGGCGGTCAGGGGACCCACCCAAGGGTCACAAGATCAATCTGTCGGGGTCACAAAAGCAACAAGAAAAACAATGTTTCTAAATTTTGTGGTGCAAACCATGGGGATGGTTAATGTTTATGGTCAGCATTTTAACCCTTTAATGTGTCTGCATCACTAGGGCGCCCCTAACTACTAACTATTGGATACTTTTGCTTCTTTAGACCTTTAACACGATTTAAAAGCAGAGATAATATCAATCTCTGATTAAAATGCTGATTAACCCTCCCAGACACTCTGCACCCTGTGATAAGGGGTCACAACAGGGTCACTGAGTTTCTCTGAGAGGAGAAAGATACTACTTTGATACCCATGGTAGTCCAGGTGTGTTTTGCTGGCTAAATGCTCCATTCTGTTCTATCTCTGAAGCTGTCTGGTGTTCTTTTTTTTTGTTTTGCAGACATTACATGAATACTAGTTACTTTTACAGCTAGGTTTTATTTTACTCTAACTCAAGTAGACTGATTAGCCCTTTAACACTTCTTTAGAGGTGTGTGTGTGTGTGTGTGTATGTGTGTGTGTGCATGTGTGTGCATTACCAGGACTCTTGCCGCTTCACTGAGCTGAAATATGACCTGCTCAGAATTCAGTTCCTCCACACTCACAGTCATCTCAGCCATTTGTTTCACACCTACTCTCTTTCTCAGCCTGATATGGGCTTCCCTAGACACACCCCCACACACACACACTCAAGAGTTATAACATACTGTACTGAGCATCTACTAAAAGTGTTATTACCTTAAGAAAACTAAAAGGACCTAGATGAATAGGGAAGATGTGAGTAACACCTGAAGGCCCGCTACCATTATCAGAATGGTCTTTCCTTACGCTGAGCAGTGGCTTACACCCTAATGTATCACAGCTAATATTTCCAAAATAGATCATGTACAGTAATAGATTGCCTCGTTTTATGGTGAGTGCCTGTGGTCAGAGCAGTTTGCTGCCAAATGTTGCTATGGCTCATTTTTCTCAGAGATGCCTCGAAACGGAGCGGGCTGGGGAGAGAATCATAAAATACAGTATTGGGAGATGAATCATATTTATGAGATTGATGCACCGAGAAGCTATCAGGCATTAAATAGTGTTGACAACATATAAAACTGGTTGCTTTATTGACTGTTCTCTTGAAGCAATAATTTGACATTTTGGGAAACACACTTATTTGCTTTCTTGCTCAGAATTTGATTGATGTCACTCTCTACAGTAAATAGGACACTCTTGTAAAAGAGATTTTTAATCTCATTGAGGTTCTCCTGATAAAATAAAAGTTAAATAAAATAAAATATATATAACTGGAGCTTTAGCTTAGCTTAGCATAAAGACTGGAAACAGGGGAAGCAGATAGTCTGGACCTTTCCAAAGCAAAGGCAAATACCAGCACCTCTAAAGCTCACTAATAAACTTGGATCTACCCATTTGACCAAATCTCTAGCCAAAACGAGAGGTGCATGTCTTATTTATTTATTTTGCAGAAACACCACACCTATAGTACATTAGTACTCTACATGGGGGAATTAAATTTTGGTACCAAATGATTTCATTAAAAAAGCTGCTGCTAATGTAAATGTGGCAGATTGTTGGCTGTAGGGGCCATGTTGGGCTTCAGACTACATGTAACGTAAAGGATGCTGAGGTTACTGGACTGTCTTTTATTGTGCGTGTTTACAGTGTGGACATTTGCCCAGTGGACCCATGAAAGAAAAAGAGCCAATGTTAGCTACACCCCCCTCTTTTGTACAGTATAAAGCAGGACGAAGACAGCATTGAGCACATGGCCCTTATTAAATGTTCATGTCATGTGGGAATGATGGGAAAGATTCCCATGTTTACGATCTGCCAGCATTCATGTCATTCACACGGTTTTATGATTGCAGAGTCAGTCTTGTTATTGACAACGTGACACCAGGCCTCCCCTTCGCACGGCTTGCTGCTGTTGAATTGAAATGAAAAAGGTACTACACAGCATCTCCTCTACCTGCTGTTGCTTGATTATCAGCAGGTGGCGGGTTGCTGCCTCTACTCTTTATAAGCCCATTTATCAATCCTCGCTGGTCAAATGAAGTGCACTAAGGTTAGCGAGCTAGGCAAACGACCCTCCAGTTTCTATGAGCAAAGAGGACTCCTAAGTGTTGACTGTTGTAAAGGCAGACATTGGTAACCAGTGCTATGTAGGGAATTTTTTCCTCATTTGCAGGTCACACAGCTGTAACGTGCTCCCAACAGTAGCGCACCACCTCCTAGCAATACATCCTCTCAGATGTCAGTCATTTGCTGGAAAATGGAAGCTGATTCACATTAGGTGTGTAATGTACAGTGTAGTGTATATCCCCTTACATAGAATGTGAATGAATTTAAATTTGAAAGTCTGCAGGTTAAACTAGTCAGAGTAAGATATATCCTGCCAAGGAGGATGGAGAGTGGAAGCAAAAACGGTCTATCACTGTCCAAAGATCTTTGAATCTAAGTGCAGTTACTCAATACTTAATCAGTAAAACTGTGGCTTGGACTAACATCAATGCTTCTCTCAGCTTTGGCAAAATTATATTTCCACCCACTTTCCCATTAGAGAGAGTGAATGAAGTCTTTCCCAAAACATTTAGCGTGGTCATCACACACTCTGTATATTAACCTTTTGGAAACTCTGTTGTTTAATCTGATTTAGAATCAGCAGGCTTTTTCTCGTAAGCTCACCACAACTGCACAAACAGCTTTTTCTGTCTTCGCCAGAGAAAGAGAGAGGATATTTAACCTTCTGATTTTTGGAGGCAAATCAAACTCAAGGTGTGAGAATTGTTTAAGGAGCTTTCAACTGAATAATCAAACTAGATATTAAAACTAAACAAACTATTCTGTAATCACCATCAAAATGTAATCTTTGTCTTCTGTTCACTAAATCTTATGGAAAATGAATCATAGGTTTTTGAGATACCCTAACGACAGGTAAATTAATTAAGGCTCCAGTCACAAGCTCCTTAGCTCAAGTAAGTGTTTAGTGGGAGGATCTAGGGGTAGTGCTGGATGAACGTTCTGTCCACCACTTTCAGCCTTTAAAAGCAGCCTTACAGAGAATGTTTGAGGCCAGGCATGGTAACCATGCATCAAATGAGCTGCCTAAACTAGAAAGTCAAAGTGTAGCTGGGATGTAACACTGATACGTGACGAGGTAAGACATATTGCTTTGCTGTCTGACAAGTCAAAGTGTAGCTGGGATGTAACACCGATACGTGACGAGGTAAGACATATTGCGTTGCTGTCTGACAGGTTGCTGTGCTGTGTTAAAGCTGGCGGCTCCGCACAGTGCAGCAGCAAGGCAGTTAATCTGACTGAGTCATTGGACGAGATTAAAAGCAAAATTGATTGATCAGTTGTTGGGAGAGTGAGTGAGAAAGAGTTAGAGTAGAGCAGCTGACAGGGCCTGTGATTCATCCCACCTGCTTCTTCTCCTCTTTTTAGCTGGTGTCTGGCTTTTGTATTGCTTTTTCAACAGACACTCCTCTTTATTTTCCTCCACCACTTCTTTCTATTATCTCTTTCTTGTCTTGGTTCTCCACTTGCTGAACCTCTCCGGTGTTCTTTATTTGGTCTCCTCTTTATTTCTCTCTCAGTTTGGTTGGACACCATCATTGTGAAGACATTTTAGTCGGTTCTCGCAACTTCAGGGGACTTTTTGAGGTTTAAGACTTAGGGTATGTGTTAGGCATTTACTGTGGTTATGTTGGTTAAGGTTAGGATAAAGTGCTAGGGAATGCATTTTGTCAGTGAGTTTCCTCCCAACTATAGAAAGGCAGTTTGTGTGTGTGTGTGCGCGTGTGTGGACATAAATCAGTGTGTCTGTTCTTATTGATCACACCTGTTTTAACATGCTACTCCAATACAGGGAACTTCATACTGTCTTTCTTCCTGTCTGTTAGTAGCAAACAGCAGCAGCCATGGCATTTACATCCAGCATTCAACACACTTGTTGAGCTGAAATACAGTAGGTTCGGTTTGGACAGACAGAGGAGACTGTGTCTGTTTTCTCCCCGGTCATTGTTGTTTTTTAGTAGGAGACTGTCAGATACAGACACATTGATTACTG